TTGCTCCTTTGAGCGACATGAAACCTTCACACTCCAACTGTCGTTCTCCCCCCCCTTTCATCCATTTGTAGGGAATATTATTATGCAGTCCTCTTCCCCAGTCTTATCCCAGTCTCTCTCTTGCTCCGTGAAATCCGTCTGCTCTACCCTTGTTCACTTATTTTACTCGACTCCTGTCGGATTTTACGTAGCAAGAGAGAGACTGTGATAAGACTAGGGAAGAGGACTTCATAATAATTAAGCAGACTCTGATCAACATTCTCTGCACAAGGATGAATGGGGTAGGGGTTGGGTGAGAACGACAGTTGGAGAGTGAAGGTGTCATGTCGCTCAAAGGAGCACACCACATTACATCTAAATAAACACGGTAAAAATTGTAATAGTGAAGGTGTGATAGGATGCTACCAGAAGGGCAGAAGGGGAGATACCACAATTGTTTAGCACAAGTCTGGTCAAAGTATCGGCTTCACTTGTCTCTTTGACGTGTTGCTATGTGATGCTAAAAATGGCGATAATCACTGACGATGCCGACTACGATGTCGGTGAAATGTCTGGGAATGTACCACGTCCACGGTTCAACTTTGGAAATGATCATGCAGGCAATGGACTCCGGACTAGGTGCTCTGCTCTGAGTCTTCCGACCAATATGACAATGTTGCGAAAACAAGGTCAAACAACTTGTAAACAACAAAAGGAAACTGCGACCACACAAAAGGCCACACCATCCTGGTCTTCATACCTTTGATCAAAATATGAAAGCTGTGAAGTTCAATAAAAAAATGAGGCCTACTCATTTGCTTGTAGGAAAATTCAAGTATCAGTCTTTCATCACCGTAAAAGAAATTGGATGAATAAAGTTCTTATAACCTCTGCTTGGGAATTTGGCGAATCTTCCGTGATAGCTTTACAAGGCTGATATACCGTGGGTGGCTTGTTGTTATGGCGACGAGTGCTCCATTTCAGCTCCAGCGGGAGTCGAACCCGAGAGAAAGGAAGGGGGTGGGATCCGGAGTTAGACACTTTGACCCCCAGACGCCCACTTGGCTCCAGCATTATTGAGTTGCAATGCCGATATGACTATCTAAACATACATCAAGGCTGAAGACATATCGATAAGATGAGCAAGTGTTTACCATTGCAACTTGATACCATTCTCAAGTGGAGGTAGTGAAGTTTATGTCGAAAATGTCAACAAGTCTGTGTGCTGCAAAGTTGTGCTTCAAAGTGTCCAATGGTAGCTTATTGTCGACATGCCGATTGATGAGGGCCAATCTCTCCATAGTAGTGTGGAGCATCTCCTTGGGCCTATTGTGAGTGCCATTTTATGGAAGATCTGCTCGGGCACACGATCCCGGACACAGCCAATCGGCCATCTCAACGTCCGTTAGACGCATGCTAATCAGGTCAAGAACGAGAGCCCAATAACTTAGTAAGTTCAGGGTGATTTAAGGAATAATAGTGAAGTTGTTTTACACAGTTCCTGAGAGTAGGTCTTAGAAAACCGTTAAATTTCATCTTTTCCTGCCGCCAAAAAAATTTTCCCATTTCACCCAGACCACCGAATCTATCTGGCCTGGGCCTCAGCAACTCCTTAACGGGATTCGATACCGGATCGTAAGCATCATTGCAACAGGTTACCACTCGGCTAACAAGAGACGGGTACCAGTGGGCAACGGGTGAATCAGGTTTCTCCCATATCACATTTAAAGTATAATTTTCATTAAAACATTCACGTATTTGCCAGTTTAATCGACGATGTTGGGAGTGTATATTTGACGAGTTATACATTCTTGATAAGACTTTCTACTCAAGACTGAGCCATAAAGTTATTTGGTACCAGAGTTTGGGAGTGATGCTAGTCGATAGCTCTGCAGGACGGGATCAAAGCTGTCCATATCTCGAGATCGAGACCGAGACTACTCAACCAGCCGTACCATCTTCTTCATCCAACATCAAAATAAGGTTTCTAGATGCCTCCTTAATGTTGAATTTATGCGTAGTTTAGATTATGCCTTATTTAAGATAACTTGACTTTGAGGCAATTCTGCATACTTCAAACAATCTATCGTCAGATAACAGCGCTAAAAACGCCCAACTTTGGCTGCCGATACTTTCCAGAAAGACGAACACAGAGGACAATGCGATTCTTAAGCGATGTTAGGCCTCGACTTCAAAGCTTCGCAGAACTAACGCCTCAACTGGCCTATCCCGACAGACATTTTTCTGAGAACTGCTTCAAGCAACTGTAACCAATGGCCTCAACAAAAGGAGGCCGTTTTTGCCAATCGCGCCTTGATCGTTCGAGTATGAAGTGGATATACTTTCGAGCGAGGCAAGCAAATATGGTCTCAGAACTGCACCATAATTACAGACAGCAACAATGGAATGGTTGAATCAGAAAATGACAGAAAAGTGAACTAAGTTTGTGCGACTCCGGACCCGGAGACACTTTGCTGCGTCAGAAAAGAAGAGTCTCAAAACCTACCAAAACAAACAAAAGAAGTCTATACAACTCCAGTTCGACGCTGGCGGAGGGGGGTCGTCTTTAAGGGCGGTGTATTGGCCTAAATGTTGCTGAATAACGATTTACTTCGAGAAACAAGAACTTACCCACCCTAAGTCATTTAAGGTGATTTAAGGATTGATAATGCAATTTTCCCATAACGACATTGTAGTTCACCTAAAGAACTGTAGGCTCAATATGATGAGACGTTACACAGCCACAGTTACTAGTTGGTCACAAGACAAATGGGACTTTCGAGGAGGCAAAACTTAATTTTCAAATAGTGTTACCCAACTTTCCATTGTGAAATAAAAGATGATGAACAGGGTTTCTCAGGTTGGTCTGACCGGAAACCGAAGAAGTAACGACTGTTGGATTGTATGAAGAAGTCCTCTGCTCGATAAAGTTTCATAATTGATACTCCCACTATTATTGTGAAATAAAGAAGGCCCAGTTTGGTTTGAGGGTCACGCCTGTTCTGTAGCTCGCCGACCATCGCGTCAATGTGTAGTAGTGGTAGCATTTCGAATATATACACTACCCTAATAGAGTTTGTTTTCTGTTGGGACTTTTGATAAGACCCACGCTTGATCAAATCACTAGTCCCCTCTAGATGAGACCTCCTTTTGTGAGACAAGGCTGGTTGAAGAAAAGTTGGCTTTTCAGGAGTCTCTTGGTTTAACATTGTTGAGTTGTCTCCCTTCTCGAGTGAAATTGTGGGCTGAAGAGATAAAAATGTTGCCAGTTGTTGATTGTCTATATCTCACATTCAGGTTGTTGCTGTCGCTAAGTTATTCTCTTTGGATTCCCGTGAAGTCGTGTGAGGCATTTGTCTGTCACATGACAAACATAATCAGAAGGGGATATCATTCTTACAAACGATTCAAGCTAACGAGCCAAGAAAAGCATATGTGTGTGTATGTTTGCGTGTTAGCACGATCAAGCGATTTTCCCAAACCAAACTTTTTTTCATGCATACTGAGTGTATATGATAAAAATTCCTACCACC